TTGAATTAAAGAATATCCATGTAAAATGGCATTGTATTCCCCTCCCCCCTTAAATTTTGGTTTTACAGAATTAAGGAATTATTTGATTAAAGGGAGGGGAGCCCCTCCCTTTATTTGGTTTGAAAAAGTGGATCCCCTCCTCTCCAAACTAGGGAGATGGGAGGGAAGGGTATAATTTTATTTCATAATGACCTAAATGCCTTTTTTTTTTTAATTGCCATTCTTTATTTTTTTAAACAAGGTCAACAGTTGTCGATTTTTAATAATATACTCCTTCGGTCTAACCTCATTAATAATAATGCAAAAAAAAAATTATAAGAAATAAAAGTGTGTATAATTTTAAATATGCTCCTATATAATAAATTCAAAAAGTAATGTCATGTTATTTTCTTTTTCTTATGAAAGATAATTTTTGAAATGCCTTTCAAAATATTACATAAAAAGACACACCGTGACTTATAAATGAGACTAAATGAATCTTCTAAAATGTGACTTATAAATGAGATCGGAGAGAATATTTGATAATGATAATTAATCTATATACTTATAATTACATGTTAACAATATTTATAATTATATTTTATTAGAAAAATATTTTTAATAATATAAGTGTAAAGTTATTTATATATAATTATTGTTTCTCCCCCGACCCCAACAATGTAATATTAAAGTCCTCCCTTTCTCTTCATTAAAATTCTTTCACTTGAATCAAACTAACCTTAAAAGTAACCTCATCCTGATGAAGGTGTCATATTAAGGCAAAATTCTTAACTAGATCCATATGTTTGTGAAAGGGTATTAATCTTTCGCTTTCTTTGTCATGCTTTTAACTTCATATATATATTTTAAAGTCAAATTTGATGGCCATATATAGAAATTATTGATTAGAGGGTTTGGTTAGGAGTGAGTTAACTAGCAATCCAATTATGCGATGTATGAGAGAAATTTTTGTAACTGCATATAAATAAATATTTTTTTTGGAATACATGATTACAGTAAAAATCGTGTAGGAAGACTAAAATTAAGTTATGTAGGAAGTCACAAGGCTCTTATAATCAATTGACGGTCTGTTATCAAAATGATTCCTCAAAACTTTGTGGATTAGAAGATCGACATAATGATTAGATTATTTGTAGACATGATCAAAAATATAAATAAATATTTTAACTAACTGTGAATATCGTGTACAATATTTTACAAATGAGAAACTAAAAAAATCTCACCATTTTGTTTATTTGTAGTACGACATATAAAGATGTATACATCAAACTGAAACCACGCTTGTGTAAGAATCGAATATTGGTGGCTGTCAAATCGTTACAAGAATTTTTTCGCCAAAAAATTGTAAGAAATCATATATCAATAACTATTGCTAATTCATAAAAGTTAAAATACTAATCCTATATTAATGCTAATTGATTACCAAAAAATAAATTAAAAATGATGAACAAAATAGAAAAAATAATATAAAAAATGTTCAATATATGCACAGCACAATTTGTAAGTTAAAAATCTTAATCTTATTCTTCATTCACCATCACGTTCATCCATGAGAAGGATGATCATCTTTGAGGGCTGGAAAATGAATGAATGGAAAATATGAGGGCTGGAAATTATGTTCCATATCTCTGATAATTGATAAATGATGTCATCTCTGATTTTCCTCAACATTTTCACGAGCGATTCCATTCCATATATGGCCACATTAGAAATTACGTCCCAATATTTTCCACTGATAATCTCTCTTGATTTATGAGGGTTTAGCTAGCCACGCTATAGCGAATAATTAATTACCATTTTCTTTTAATTTTTTTTATTTTGTTCACAGCAGCCGCTCTGTTCTGTAATAAAAATATAAAATAATTAAATTTATACGATATTTAATTTCTAAGATTTAAGAAATTAAAACACAATACATACATGAAATTTAAAACCTCCAACCAATCATGAATAATCGACCTGATACTGTCTACTTGTTAACCATGCTTTCATTGAAAGGAATCTAATTATAAACATGGTAAAAAATTACCTGAATTTTTGAGCTGAATGAAAGTATATGTAATGATCAAGAGCAAAGGGACAATATAATTGAGGGAAGAAGACAAATTGAGAGGAAATCGATGAAAGAGATTTCACCTTTTGCTGAGGATGTTTTGTCGTATACTTAAAACTCGAGTTGTTCCCACCACCTCTTGTGTTGCATCAAAAGCAATCTACAAAGAACTAATAACAGAAATTATTCGTTATATATAGGCCAGGGCTTCTCAATTTTGGTTGGGACCGTTCATCTAATTTCCACGAACCTACACTATATATATATATATATATATATATAGAAGCCAATCGTATGGCTAGCATTGCCAATTTATGAAACCCTAATCCAGAATCTGTTAATTAGATTAAGCCCTGATTAACTAAATCTCGTGAAATATTAAGGCATGGTACGCATACAAATGAAGGTTCGTGGGTGATGGCAGGCAATGTACGAAAGAAGACGACGAAATGAGATGTTGCTAGAATTACGGAAACAGCTTGCCAAAGTATTTCCAAGGTGTATGTTTGGGGCACACGTTTTTGCGAGTAAAGTCCAACACTTGCGAAAGACGATGCAAACCAACAAAATCATCATTGCTCACACATGTATGATTTCTCGCACGTACAACTCGATCAATTCCAATTATACTCTACCAATATAATTCGATTAATTAGATTCCTTCATAACAATTAACAACAATTGGCTCAAGGGCTTTGTGTATTGAGATTTGAGAAAATTGTTGAAAGAGTTTTATAACTGTGTGGTCTGATTTTGATCTAACTCATTTTGAATTAGTCACTTTAATGTAGTTCCCAAAAATTAGTTAATACTTTCTTATATACTACTGGAAATATGAACATTCCCAACTAATGAATAATATGATTTGTTTTTACATTGATAATATTGATATTAATTTTATATTTTTGGCCGAGATACTAGTTATATATTTATTATTATTCATAATTTGGCTTTCAATGTCTTCTTAAAAAATAATTACTTTATTTTGAAATTTTTGTATCATTCATTTGATTTTAAATATTTTTTTAGTAAAGTAGAAACCACGCTTTCGATTGATCTAGATCATTTACTAAAAATCATATTATTAATTAAATAACGGCATTCAGTTAAATTAAACCCCTTTTTTCAATAGTACATGACATTTTTTTAAATTATCATGTTAAAAAATATAATATATATATATATATATATATTGGGTCTTCCAAGGTGCAATCAATAAGCTTTTTCAAAAATAGCTTAATTAGGGTTGTGATTAATAATTTTTTTAATTGAAACATTCTATTAAATAAAGATAAAGATCAAAATAATGTATAATTTTAAAGATAATTAACTAATTCAATATAAATGTAAATTTAATTAAAAGTGTCAAATAATGGACAAAGGGAAGGAGTGTCTCAAGAAATCTAATTATGTTGAAAAAGATCATGTAATATAAATTTTTTAATTGTTCTCAATAATAAACACTGGACAGTTGCGCCTAAGTTTAATTTGTAATATAATATATTATATATTTAGGTGATGTTATGTTACTGCCCGTGAAAATGTGACAGGCCATATATGCTAGCTAGGAAGACGCCATGTGGTAATGATGCTGGAAGAAAGATGGTACAAAATGGATTGGTTAATCTGGACCACTGGTTTTTAGTGGGCATTTAAATCTTAACTTTCACTAAGCTTTTAATTAATTAATGATTGTACTTTCTTATTATAATGTTATTGCGAAGAAGCTTTCAGGGTCAGCTAGTAAATTTATATTAATTTATTTTTGTGTGCAGGTCCCCTCCCCTGCAAGAGTCAAAATCAAATTATTCACTTAATCAATCTTGATCACCTCTCCACTTCATAAAATTGGAAGAGTTCCAATAAGAAAAACTTTTATTTCCTGTTTTAGGGCCCTAGCTTAAAGAGGATTAATCCATAAGAAAATTTGGAATAGTATAATTTCCTTAACTTGTACGTGCGTAATCAAAGAAATTTTGTACTCATTTTTTAAAAAATGAAGAAATTTTTTTTTTGTTTCGATTGGCCAGTTACTTAGAATAAGTTGTTTTCTTGGTATATATGTACATGGCATACCTTGAATTCTTCTCGAACCCAAAAACATAAATCCCAAAAATAAAATTCTTAATCAGTGATTGCCCTATATCCATGCAGGTATCACTGGCTAGCTAATGCAGATAAAATATTTATATTAATAATCATCATCATCACAACAACTAAAAAATATATATATATGTTTTGAAATGCTGCAACCTGGGCCCTGGAGCACATATATATAAAATGCTTTTCTGATTAAGATGCTTTGAACAATTAAGCAAGCAACGACCATTCTTCAACTTGAAATCATTAATCTTCACTTTTCACCCTAACCTAGGGTTACAGAAACATATCAATTAACTCTTACTACATATAAAGAAAAAAAGGAATAAATTTACTTTCTATTTTATCCTATTCCTGTGCTGTACGGTGAGGATCACAATTCCTCTAATTCCTCAAATAGGGAAAAAATAAAGAAGGTATAAAAGTAAATAACAAGAGTAGAAGCTTTGTGTGCATCATCAACCCGTGAAAGTTGAAACAAATGGATCAGATTAACTTTTAATCAATTTCTAAATTTGCTATTGCGCGGCAAGCATAGACTTAATCCTAGATGACCTAGATTGGTATTAACCATAGTGCTAAAGACGCCGAGTTAGCCACCATTAATAATTGATTTGACGATGGAAGCACAAGTATGGAAAAATATAGGGGCCAAATAGCAAAAAAAACAAAAGTATGGTTAATGGATGTTAATGCTAACAGTACGATTAAAGGAAGAAAATAATGTAGGCAATGAAGAAAAAGAAGGAGCTAAAGCACTTTCCTTGGTCCCATACCATGTCCTCTCATCACTATACCTCATTGATGTGATCTTTGAGAATTTTATTAATTATTTTTTCCTCACCATCACTCTATTCTATTGTTTCTTCTGTTCCCTTTCTTTCTTATACCTGAAAGCAGGAAAAAGAAAATCAACAAATAATTCAAATGATTAAATCAATAACACAGACGAGAGCTAGCTAGGTAGCATGATAGATATGTCATCCGGCAAAGGGAAAGATATCGCAGAAGGATCATCATCGTCGACGAGGTTTTCTGTTCCTGCTTCGGCTTCGGCTTCGGCTTCTGCGGCGGCGGCGGCGCCGGTGACGGCCCAGCAACAGCCGCTGAGCCGGTATGAGTCGCAGAAGAGGAGGGATTGGAACACTTTTGGGCAGTACTTGAGGAATCAGAGGCCTCCGGTGGCTCTATCACAGTGCAGTTCCAGCCATGTTCTTGATTTTCTGAGATACTTGGATCAGTTCGGGAAGACTAAGGTGCACTCACAAGGTTGTCTGTTCTTCGGGCAGGCGGAGCCGCCGGGGCCATGCACATGTCCTCTCAGACAAGCTTGGGGCAGCCTGGACGCGCTCATCGGAAGGCTGCGAGCCGCGTACGAGGAGAATGGCGGCTTGCCGGAGACAAACCCGTTTGCCAGCGGCGCCATAAGAGTTTACCTGAGAGAAGTGAGGGATTCTCAGGCCAAGGCAAGAGGAATCCCTTACAAGAAGAAGAAGAAGAAGAGGAATCTCGTGAAGGATACCTCAAATAGCTTGCCTTTGCAGTAATTCAAGGTTCATTTGGTTCCTTTTTGGCCTTGTTCACGATTACTAAATGGTAATAATTTTCTCAACTTTTGCTGCAACTTTGAAGTTTGAACAATAATTCATTGTTGTTACATAACAGGCTCGATCAAACTGATTGAAACTCAGAACAGGAAAATTCATCAATCCCAATAGTAAAGTTGGTTCAAAAGTAGGTTTCATTATTTACTTGGAATAGTATATATATTTATATATATTCAATACTGCATCGATCTGATCATTTCCTTCATCATTCACGGCGAACCCTAGCTAGGCCATGTATAATGAATGGGCTTCAAAACCCTAAGTCGCCTCTCTGATGTACGTTCAACGACGTATATATATATATAAGAACAAACTATGCTTACTTTGGTAGGGACTAGGGAATTGGCTCTCATTCATTTTATACTCTCTCTCTCTCTCTCTCTCTCTCTCTCTCTCTCTCTCTAATCTCATTCACAACACACATCACAGTATGCTATCATTGTGGTTTTTGAATTTCGTATTTATTTATTTATCAATGTATACATGTTTGCTTTTCTTCCACACAATCTTGCTTCTTTGGGGATTCGTGCTATCTTATGTTGCAGTTACCACAAATGGCAAGATAACCTTATATATTTATACATAATATTATATTCCTGTAAAAATATATATTTTATCAACAGAATTGTGGAATCTTGAAGGTCTCGAGATTTAGTAAGGGGAAGAATTATATAACTTTCTGATTTTCTAGCTAGGGTGCTGGGCCATAATGGTTTATATATTCCCATATTCAGTGCACCACAATCCACAATATGTAGTATTATTGGAGCTTAATTGGTTTGTCTTTATATATATCCCAACAAATTTTGTGTCCTCTCCATCTTGCTTTTGCTGTTGCTCACATCATTCTCAATAGATCCTTTTCTTGATTGGGTGGTGTTGATATGTGTGTGTGTGTGAATATATATCTGACTTCCGTACATGAATTGCACTGCACACACCTCTCACTATCAAAATTTAAATTTAAGCGTGCAAGACTTTTATCCCAGGTATTGATCTATTAATCAATAGGATGCTTGATCAATAAATTCAAAATTGTCGTCATCTGATATATATATGTTACAATCAAAAGGAGGATCATGAATGATTCTCTTGGATATATATTTCCTTTTCAAAATGTCCGACATTTATATAAATACCTTAACGTAAATACTTTGAAATTTAGAGGTACTATTGCAAAACCGCAGCATGGTAAAATCCTAGATCATATCATATACTTGTATAGTCGTGTACACGTATACAAGTACTTTTGTACGTATGGCATGTACGTTTTTTTCTCTCCTGGGGGGTTTGAAACGTTGAATCTCTCATTGATTTTCAGGTCTCTAAATAATGTCCAAGTCATGAAAGATTGATGGATATATGAGCTGCCAGCTTGGCATTAGCAGTATCTTCTGGGGTGAATGTGAAGCTAAGTTAAATCCTTTCTCGGCCTTTGTATTGCAAAGGACATTGTATTTATTATTTGAATGCGAATACTTAGGAGATGAAGTTCAGGAAGATTAATATAGTATACAATTATAATGAGTAGTCACTCTAGTGTACGGATATCTATAATATAATTCAGCGTTATATCAGGCAAGGCTTATATATAACCTTGAACTATATATCCTAAGAAGCTAGCTAGCTAGTGTGTTTAATTACGATGCAACCTTTGAATCCTTAATTTGTATCCTTTGACTAAGTACATTCAAGGAATTTTTGGGGCTTATTGCTGCTGTGGTATTTTGGCGATATGGTTATACATGCTACTTTTATCCATCTTAGCTATAGTTTGAATCCACAGATATATATACATGCATCAATATATATCTGTCTGTGCGTGCTTAATTAATCTTAAGAGCTTCGCATGCAATTTATACAGGAGTGACTCAATCATCTCTATATATGTTATGATAAGTGAATGAAATAATGATTCTTTGTGACTGATCAAAAAGTGTTGTCTAAGATACGCACATAAATTTATTTACAGATACAGGTGTGAATTGTTAAGAAAACTCTTCCATATATGTAAATTAATTGTGAGGGCTAGCACTACTACACACGCGCGCGCGCGCGCAGGGACAAGCTCTTTTATTGTTGGAAGGAAATGTTTTTTTACCTGGGTGACACGAGCATGCATGGTAGGTCGAATCTAGATTGTTTACAGTAGATATTTTGAGAGAGAGAGAGAGAGAGGGTGAAGAATATAGGTGCAAAAGATATACATTAAACTTGATTTCCAGGTCTTTTTTTTTTTTTTGGTTGGGGGGGGGGGGTGGGGGGACGACGCTCTTTGATATAGATGATTTAAATTCTATGCAGGCACAACAAGGTGACAGATTTATACCATATGAATTTTGTTCCTGTTTACTTGTTTTCTGGGACAATTTTCTGACGAAATCTCTGGATTGTGATTATGTATAAGAGAGAGAGAGAGATGGTAAAATCTAAAATGTCCTTCAATTAAGAATTAACTGAAAGGGTACTAGGGTTCACTTCATAATTCCTACTTCAATTTCAGCAATTTCTTGTGATTAAATGCATATGTTGTGCGGCTTGGATGGTATTTAGTGTTTAATTTCTAGACAAATTTGTGCAGAATCAGCTTACTCATCAGGTGTCTCATCAGTTTTTCATGCCTTCTGACTATGTTGAGAGGTTAATCATAAATTATATATATATATATATATATATTGTTTGTCTAATTAATTAATCCCTTCATGGCAGTTTGAATACATGAAAGGTAATATAAGGAATACAAATTGAATGGAATCTTCCAAAATTCATGTTATTTTGGATGCCCGTGTTAATTAGTTGTATACAGAAAGCGCCCGTTTGATATTGGGCTAGGACCTATAATACTTGGGGTCTCCATACAAGATCGATTTGTATATAACCAATATCTCATGAATTTTATATCAAGTAACAAGTTATCACAATTTATTCAGAACATTTCTCCATTGCGCTCTTCGTTTAATTTATCCCACAACACGCATCAAATATTTGGTTAGAAGGCTCGTTACAAGGAACTGATCGTCTCAAATTCATCTGACTGTCCCAGATTATGGTTTACCATCACATCACTCCAACGTTCTCTCCTGTAATTTGTTTGTTTTGTTGTGAGAGAGAAAGAGAGAGAGTATGGAGTGGGATCTTAGATTTTTTTTTTTTTGGGGGGGGGGTTATTTAGTTAACGTTACCCAAAACTAGCTAGATTAATTATACAAAAGGTTTAACAAGCTTTAAAAAAAAAGGTTTAGATAAATTGAATCTTAAAAATTATCATGTTTCCAGATTAAAAAATTACTTACTAGAAAATTATGCATATCACCAACAATGTTCTTACATTGACAATGAAATTTAATCTTATAATTTTTTAGTTGAGTCAAATTTTTATTAATTGAATTAATATTTATTGATAGTTTAATAGGTATTTTAATGTAATGTTTAGTTTCAAGAAAAAAAGTCCTATTATTATGCATGCCCGTGTTCATATCTGGAACCCAAAAATTTGAATATATTCGTTTTGAACAGTTGCGCATTGGGCACGAGACTCAAACTGATGATCATTTGGAGAGGTTTGATCGTTAATTTGTTAAATTTGTATCTTTCTCTTTCGTTCAAGAAAAGGTTGAAGAATGTTGCATATATACACAAAATTATTAGATAGACGCGAAAATAAAATTAGAATGCGAATAAAACTGACGAAACATAACTCTCATGTCTCTATTCAAGAAAATAATTAAGAAAACAGTTCGAATCATTACTACATCTCATTTTCCCTTTTTCATTATGGATCCACAATCAAATAGACCCTTGAACCATGTTCTGTACAAAAATTAGATGGATATGAAAAGGAATGAAAAAATATAATGAAATGAAAAAACCTGTGGTTCATAAAACATTTTCCGTTATAATATTACCCAATCAAAAGTTCATGACCAATAAATTACTTCTGGAATGCCCAGGGGATTTGAATTCTCTCATAATCATTTCTTCCATTTTCTTTTCCACATCCCATATATACTTTTAAATTAAAAATTCAGGAATTGAGATTTAATATTTTATAAACTATTATAAAAAACATAAATAAAAAATTTGAAGATTGCACACTAACTGTAGGCTATTATTAAAATAAATAAATAAATTTGATTAAATATCAGCCGTTAAATTTTTAATTCAAGAATGAGAATGATATAAAGATAAGAAAAGATCAATAAGGAGAAGATCAAGATCCTCAATGAAAAATACCCTGATCCGAACACCATAATCAATTCTTAGTCAATTACAATCTATATTTTGCTAAGGAAAAATTTATGGTTTTCATCTCAAATGAAATCAATTCTACATAAAGTTTAGAAATTATTTGGATTCGTGATTCTAGGAACAAGTTTGATTTTCACATCGATTCAATGTTATACCAGTAATACTGGTTCCAAAACAAATCTAGTGCGGTTCTATTATTGATTTGTGGGGGTAAGTAGATGAATGAAGAGAATCCCATCCATGAGCTGCATAATTCACATTACATATTGCTATTCTTCCATTGAACTAACCACAATTTGAATCTTTCAACTTCTTTTCTCTCATTTTAACCATAAGAACATATCCATCCAATCTTTCTCTCATTTTGTCTCCATCAAATCTAATGCAAAAGCATGACAATATTCAACACTCTGCCATTAGAAAACACCTGAATATCTATTCTTCATATATCTGTGTCATGTTTTTCCTTTTGGCTGGTCTTTAATTCAATTCTGAAAACTAAACCCCCATCCAAACCAAATCCTTCCTTCCCTCCATTTAAGTTGCATGTGTCTGGCATATAAGATATCAAGAGACAACAATTGCAAGATAGCAGTGTGCAGAACCAATCTTAAATGGCAGGTTAGTAATCACTTCAAACTTCAGCATGTTTCTTATAGGGTTTTAAAACAAAATAAGCACATCTCAATGAGGATCCCATGCATTTACCCCTGAATGCAGGAAGTAAATTTAGGGGAGAGAAAAAATTACAGTGGAGTTAAGGGTCCCACTAAGGGTGAATGGATCCACCCACTCACTCTCCCTTTCTCTTTCACTCTCCTATATTGACCTCAGACATTTATCCCCTTAAGGCAGGGGATCCAAATCCCACATCAGTATTACTCCAAAATCCTTCCCCGGTGTCACATAGATTTGACTTGACACCACTCAATCATCAGTATAAGTATAAGAATACAGGATAAAAAATCACTAGCTATGAACATAGCCAGCAATTTCAAAACTCTTCACACAACAGGAAGGAAATACATCAACGATGTCTGACAAACTTGAATTTAACAAATCAACACAAATTCCTCAAAGCATTCAACACTACACAAATCTTTCACGTTTGATTACAGTTTACAAGGCCTTATTTTTCCCTTGTTCCTTCAATTTTGAGCAATTTTGAGAGATAACAACAAAATCTTATTATTACAATTACACTGAAGAATCAAAGGGAAGCCCTTGTTCAAAACACTTGTGAAATAAAGCTTACAATCTAGTGATCTACACCATTCTGTTCTTACCTGACGAGAAAGTCCCCTTAAACGGAAAAGATAACTTTGTTCAAAGCAAAATAGGGGCGACCTCTTCTATGGCATGAATCTCCAGCGATATCATAGAGAATAGTGTAATCTGAACTGCTTACATTCCTAAAATAACAAAATTTATTGCTTTTATAGTTATAATCTTGTTGTGTACTACCCAGTCCACTAATGACCAAATTATTTTTAACAACCATAACACCCTGACCATTTTGCACATTTTTTAGTGAGCTTCTTGAAAATCCAAACTCTGAACTCTTAGACTTGATCTCATCAAATCCCAATGTTAAATTAGAAACAGATAAATAAGTTCCGTTTGCTTGATCACTTCACTTGTGTACAGGTGTAGGGAAAAGTTCCTGTTTGTTTCAATGATCGAATGATGAATAGAGGATGGCAGCTCTATATGAACAGTGTCATTGAAAAGGATGATTTGTCTCACAATTTGCATATTCCCACCATTCCCCATCACCATTGTATTGTTGTAACTCAAGTCTTGAGCAAAACTGGTTGTGATATTACCATGGGAGGATTTCACCCATCCGGTTGACAAAATGGACCTCCTTGCCCTTGTCCAAAATGTTCCATTTAAACCTACAAAGTCTGATACCTGGGATTCAACCAGAGGCTTGCCAATGTAATTTGAAAGCCGCCCTTCTGTTCTATCACTCTTTTCATCCAACCAAAGATGTAAATTAGCATCTATATACCACACATTCAAGGCATTGGTTACACTAAAACCGAGTGAATGTGTATGTCCATCTAATATTTCCCCCAGAAAAGGTGTAATTTCGATGTCGTAAGAGGGAAGATCAAATGATCCAATGCCAGTGATAGGTCTCCACAAAAGGGGATTGACCCCTCCTGTATATATCACAGTAAAAGGCCAAATTACCCCAACAACCTCACCATCAAGAGTAACCACAACCTCCCTAAATGGCCCATTTCCAGGTGTATCAGTAAGGTTGTTAGCAGCAAGGTATTCATCTGGCAGATTAGTATACCAAAACTCATCATTCTCATGAAATGAAAGATAGACCTCTAATACAGCCCTATAAGCATTCTGAGGAATTTTGAATTCCTTTGTTGCCGTATCAGTGGAATTTACGATTTCAAACCACAGCCCATCATTTGATGGAAGATTTCGAGAGATGGGTAAAATCAGATTCGCTGGGAAACCATTCCTAAATGCTAAACTTCCAGGAGTGGATTCATGATCACCGAATGTCATTTCAGCAGGATAAAAATGAATGAAGATATCAACATGGTAAACCCCTGTGTAAGTACTGTCTACAAGATTACCTAAATAAACAGCAAGAGTTTGGTCCTTCATTAGCAACGAATAGTACCTTGTAATGTCTTTCTCAACACTCCAAACAATCCCGGAAGCCCTAGGCTCCGCCGTGCAGCTCCGGAGAAGCTCAACCCCACCAAGCCACACTCCAAAGATGCGATCAAATTGTCTTCCTTTGCAAGTCGCTTTCCACTCAAGGACAATTTTTGAGAAGTTGTGAGATGGGCAATGCGAGGGAGGGACATACTCCACAAGAACAGGAGGTTTACCGTAGGTATAGCCAAAGTCATGGTGAAGAGTGTGGTACGAACAGGGTTTTGTGCGTGGGAGTTTGATGGGTTTGGTAACCTCAAAGTACTTCGTGAGTGGGGCGTCGTCGAGAGAAGCGGATTGATAAAAAAGATCTGATCTAAGTTGTTTTAACTCGTGAAGATTTGCTGAGGAAATGAGAGGCTGGAAAAGGAAGATGAAGAGGCTGAAAAGGAGGAAACGGAAAACAGAAAAATCCATGACTAGCTTACTGTGATGGGAGGGATGCTAATGTTGTAATGTGAGACTAATAAAGTAATAATAAGTATATTCGAAGTGACCCAATCGCTAGAGAAGAGGGATTAAGCTTGATAGACCAAGTGTTGGGCAGGTAAGGGTGAGACTCCGGCTGAATGATGGGTGAGTTGTTACTCTCCGTTGCAGATTTCCACTTTTCTATTTGTGTTCAAATCCAAATATGGTTTTTTTTTAACATTTAATATGTAGATTATTTCATTTATTTGTAAAGATCACCATGCAAAAAAGTCAAATTCCTAATTTCCTTTAGCAAGTTCGTCCGTTTAATTTGATGTGTATAAGTAGACTTTAACTTTGTGCTCGCGTCAAGTCTGGGTTGTGTAGTATTAGTGCGTTTTTTATAGATTGGTTTATTGATTTCTCCGGTTTTTTTTTTTCCTTTAGCAAATAATTTCCCCGGTTTGTTTCGCTAATTTCCTCATCATAGCTTTTTTTTTTTTTAAATCTTAGTTGCAGCTTGTTGTCTCATTTGTTTGGCCAAGAAGTTAGTTGTCTCCTTGATCTGAAGACCAGCACAGATCTGAAAGTAGTACAAGTTGGACTCTTTGTTCTGCTTTTGTTAACCATGGCAATGCATCCATCTCCCTTTAATTTGTTTGTTTATAAACGATGTGAGATAATTTCTATATACTCAATTTCTAATAATAAGATAGACCGAGCTAATAATGAATAATATGCAAATATTCCCCATATTCAGCTTTGGCAATTGGCATCTTTTCGTATTTCTATACAATGCCTTCTCATTTACGCCTCTTTGTAGACCACGTTCTCTCTACACACACAAATGCATGAATATAACAACTACAATCTATTTTCTTTTGGCTGTACTTCAGTCAAATCTGAAGCTTACCTCTATTAAAACCTACTAATGTCTAAATTATAAATCCATTCGAACTTATTGGATGGTGAGGTTCTAACTAAATAAATGGCAGGACAAGAATCAACTCAAACTTCACATGATTTTCAAGTACTAAAAACAACCAAATTACAATCCGATCTCTTAGTCAGTACTCTACCTCAGTATCGACCCCATAGATTGGAGCTTCAAAAGGAAGTAGGTAATCTCTTGGTTAATCGAACACCAAAATGATGGTCACTTCTTTTATGGCATGAATCTCCAACTTTGTCATGGAGAATAGTGTAATTTGAGCTGCTCACATTCCTAAAATAGCAAAACTCATTGCTTTCATAGTTATATTCTTGCTGCGTACTACCAAGTCCACTAACGACCAAATGGTCCTTAACAACCATCCTACCCTGACCATTCTGCACATTTTCGAGAGAGCTGCTAGAGAATCCAAATTCTGTACTCTGAGACTTCATCTCAACAAATCCCAATGTTATGTTAACAACAGATGAAGTTTTATTTGCTTGATCCACTTCATCTATGTGCAAGTGTAGGGAAAATTTTCTGTGTGTTTTGATGATAGACTGATGAACAGAGGATGGAGACCCAGTATAAACAGTGTCATTGAAAAGGATGAATTGTTTCACAATTTGCATATTCCCATCATTCCCAATTACCATTGAATTGTTGAAAACCAATGTTTGAAGAAAACTGGTTGTGATATTACCATGGGAGGTATTCACCCATCCTTTTGAAAAAATGGACCCCCGTGCATTAGTCCAGTAAGGTTCACCTGAACCTTCAGAATCTGATACCAGGAATTCAACCAGAGGCTTGTTGATGTAGTTTGAAAGCTTCCCTTCTGTTCTGTCACTCTTTTCATCCAACCAAAGATGTAAATTTGCATCAATATACCATACATTCAAGGCACGGCCCACAGTAAAATGAACAGAATGGGTTTGTCCATCTAGTATTTTCCCCAAATATGGTGTAAGTTCTAAATCATAAGAGGGAAGATTGAATGAACCAATCCCACTTATGGGTCTCCACAAGAGGGGGTTGAACCCTCCTGTATATATCACAGTAAACGGAAAAATTGCCCCAACAGTGTGACTATCAATAGTAACCTCAACATACCTAAATGGTCCATTTCCGGGTACCTCATCAGTAAGATTGTTTGCAGTGAGGTATTCGTTGGGCAGATTAGAATACCAAAACTCATCATTCTCATGAAATGAAACATAGACCTCCAACACAGCTCTGTAAGCGTTCTGAGGAATTTTGAATTCCTTCGACTTAGTATCTGTAGAATTCTCGATTTCAAACCACAACCCATCTTTTATCGGAAAATCTCGAGAAATGGGCAAAATCAAATCCGCCGGGCCGCCCAACCCAGGTGCCGAATTCTTAGACTTGGGTCGGTGACTACTCAAGGCCTTCTTCTCAGGAGGATAAAAATGGATGAATATATCGACATGGTAAGCCCCAGTATAATTCCCGTCAACAATATTACCCATATAAACAGCGAGAGTATTATCCTTCATTAGCGACGAATAGTACCTTGTAATGTCCTTCTCAACAGTCCAGACAATCCCATTGGCCCTAGGCTCCGCCGTGCAGCTCCGGAGAATCTCAACCCCGCCGAGCCATACTCCAAAAATGCGATCGAATTGCCTTCCTCTGGAAGTTGCCTTCCATTCGAGGACAATTTTGGAGAACTTGTGAGACGAGCAATGCGGGGGAGGGGTATAATTTGCAACCACAGGCGGTTTGCCGTATGTAGAGGCAAAGTAATGGCGGAGAATGTGGTACGAACAAGGCTTTGTGTGAGGGAGTTCGATGGGTTTGGTTACTTCGAAGTACCTTGTTGGTGGGGTGTCATTGGAAGAAGTGGTGGGTTGAAGAAGAAGTTGGGATCGGAGTTGCTTGAACTTGTGGAGATTTGAAGCAGAAATGGGATCCTGGAAAATGACGAAGAAGGAGAAGAAGAGGAAGGAGAAGAGGGAGAAATCCATGGATGGTTGGTTCGACTTGGTTAGTGAGGTCTCTGAGGTTAACTCGGTCCAATACCGGGAATCCAAAATCACAATGCACGGAATGTTATGGCTAGGGGAAAAATGATAATCATTATTACCACAATTAATGGCATTAAGGGGTAATTAATATTTAATGCCTTTCTTTAAAAAAAAAATTGTCGTTGTTTATGAATATGTGCAAGGTCACACATCGAGTTCCTTGATGGTTCCAATGTTGTGTTTGTACATTTATGTTTGTTGTCGCCCAGAAAATCTCGAGACGAGCCCAGCAAGGAGCATTCAGGCACTCTTGCTTTGCTTGCGCCCTCCATTCTCCAATATTATATTTGTGTTGACAATGAGTTTTTTATTCGTTGTTCTAAAACAACGAGGAGATCTAAAATAATGATTTTTTTATTTATTGTTCTTAAGACAATTAAAGGTGTTCAACTTGTAATTATCTTGATTGATCCAATAATTAAGACAGGTCTTGTCCCAACCTGAAAACAATTGAGCCAGGACGTTGTGAGACAGAACAGAAAAGGGTTTCAAGACAAGATGAGACATGGGATTACCATCGAGATATTCCGTCCCAAATATTATATACTCCTTACATTAAAAAATATAAAGTATTTTTAACTAAACTTCATTCCCTAATAAAATAATTACTTACTTTCAAATTAACCATATGTTTTATATTTACTCCTATTAAATATCCTACAATAAATATAAAGTCATTTATCAATAGGAGCATTTTTGAAAAAAAGGCAATGATTATATTTTAAAAGATTAAAAATATCTTACATTTTTTAACGAAGGGAGTACATATATATATATATAATATTTTTTATTCTAAAAATATACATTAAATATATTAATTATATTAACATAATTTATGCTTATATTAATTATAATTTTAATATATGCAATTCTTATTTTAAACTAAAGTTTTTTATATTAATAATTTTAATAACATAGAGTAAACAGAATGATATCTTTCTTTATAATATATTAATTATATTAATATAATTTATTCTTATATCTATATATTTAATGACTTTTATTTATATCATATTTTATGTTTTATTTTTGAAAGAGTAATTAGCTTAGCACATCTCAACTTAAGTAGAAGAATAACGATTTGATGTTGTACTTAGCTTGCCTATTGTTGCTGCTCTTATAACCTAGAGATCACTTGTAATTGCTATTATAATATGTAGTTGTGATTAACGTAATTCAATAATTAACTTTAAATTAGTGTGATTTATGTAATTGTGTTGTTTTGATTTTAAATTTAATAAATTATATGATTTAAAATTTTAATGAATGTTATCATCCAAATCTTTCTCCAACATTGTTTAATTTATTAGGATGGCGGGACGTCTCCAATCTTGTCCCAATTCCTAACGAGACTTAACACAGGGCAAAAGTTGAGTCCCTATCTTTTGTTGGGACAGGACACAAGATAGGATTATTCTGGTCTCGTCTCTTGAACACTTCTACTTTCTATAGTATTTTTACCTTTTTTCTATAGTAGAAGTAGATTACAATAATTTTGTTGTTTTGTCCTTTCCGTGGAAAGAAAGAACTCTTTCTTCTTTTTATTTTTTATTCAGTGAGTTTCTAGATGCACGTTTTCACATTTTTTAAGAGAATCTCACTTATAGCCCTCACAACACAAAAATTTGCATTACAGGCCTAATAGAATTTGAAAATACACTGCAGGTTCAAGGATCCTTTTTGCAAATTTTGTTGTGGATGAAAAGATATATTTGCCCTTATTTCAATAGAATGTTCATTCATACACAATACAATGTCCTTAAATGCACAACACATTTAGTAGATATTAATTTAAAGTATGTTGCTCATTATGGACTTTATGTTGTATAAATGTTACAGGTCTACATATATTTATTGTGTTGATAATTGATAAATATTGTGTTGTATATTTATAGATATTGTCCTACTCATCATTTGTTTAATCGTACATTTTACTTCAAGTTAAACTATCTCTACTAAATGTGATGTACATTTATAAACACTGAGTTTAAAATTTGTGGACATCGTGTTGTGCTTATGTAGACATGCCCTTAAGACAAGGGCAATTATGTCTTTTCATCTATAACAAAATTTGTAAGAAAGGCTCTCAGGCTTGTAGTGTAAATTTTTATATTTTAGAAGTCCTAAGTGAGATTCTTCCTTTTTTTTCATTGTTGAAATTGTATCCTTCAAATTGTTTAAAGTTCTACAGGAAAAATACCTTATTTTCTAAAATTGGGAATTTAAAAAGCTTGTGTAATAACACAAAAATTTTAAGAAAAAAATTAAATATGTAATAATATGTATTGATTGTAAATATATTAATTATTGGGACAAATATGTTAAGAAGGGAAGCTAGTGTAGTAGTGGCTGTGCAAGTATTCCCTTGATAGGTCCCAAGTTCAAATATGCTAGAAGTCAAAAGGAGAATTATTTTTGCCTTTTTGCTCTGTGAAACTACCAATCTACCCCTCTCTCAAATCTGATATATTCTCTTCCTCCTCTTTGATTTTTTCAGGGACCTGTGACTGAGAGAGAGAGAGAGAGAGAAGCAGCTCTGATACTTGGTCTTTCTGCTTTACCTCCTCCCTCATCCTTTCTAACTACAATCTTTACCGGTGTGATTGCGGTAGCTTTGTCCGACACTAATCCAACAACTCACGGCTTCTGTTTCCTTTCTTCTCCTCTATTCCAGCTCGCCGAAACTCATTCTTCTGTGCTGTTGATGACTGTATGGATAGGTGTAAGATGGTTTGCTTTCTTTTGCTTGCTTTATCAATCACCGATCTGTTCATCTCTTCTCTGTGCTCAACGACAGTCTCTTTCCCTCCTCTGTACAAGCGTGACTTTCTCTTCCTCTCCCTGTTCGTACGTGTTGGTTTATTAGAGGTAAGAAACGTGATCTCTTCTCATTTCCTTAGAGAATTTCTGTACATGTAAGTGGATGAAGTGATAGAGATGAAATTTCAATTTTTCTCTTCTAGTTTTGCTACTGTCGTGTTGTGAAAAGGAAAAAAAAAGAGAAAATTTGAAGTTGAGTTAGATATGTAGCTTAAAGTTTCATGATGGTATATGTGGGTTTGAATTTTATGTTAAAGTAATTTTGTTTGGATTGATTGATTTTGAGGATTTGGTAGGATGAAGTTGGAAGGGAAGGGCTTAGGCATGGGATTGAGATTGGTGCTTATAAGGTGTTCGGTGAGATGCTTGTTTGAAGAGTTTTGCTAGATTTGGACTTTTTTGAAATTCTATTTAGTGGGATAAGAGGCATGACTGATTCAAATTTTATTTAGGTGAGTTTAAACTGGAGCATTGCAAAGAGTTTGATTTTTGAGTTATAGTGCTTAGTGGAATTTTTAAAAGATTTATGTTGTGTAATTTATAAATTCATACGTATAGTGGTGTTTATCATTTAACCTTGAGAATACATTTAAGATGTTTGAGAAATAGATAAAATAAGCATGATAAATTTAATTGTGGGTGGTTGAAAATTTTGCACACAAGGTGTTTGATGCAAGGTATGAGAAAATCATATCTTATATAAATAGTAGTTATGACGAGAATAATATAAGGTAAATTGGTAGTAAGTGATGATATTTGATAAACCATTAAGATATGAATTTTGATTTTTAAAATTTTGAATACTTTAGTTGGTTGAGATTGTGTTGGTAGGGGAATAAAGTTTATATAACTATAGAAAGCAAGTTGAGGTTTCATTTATTCATATAGGATGTGTGGAAGATGAGTCCCTTGATAAGAATTGAGGAAGAAAATTATTAGATTTAGAATTTAGCAGGTAAGTGTACACCCCATTATTTTTTAATAAAAGTAGTCTATTTTTGAAAATATTACATTTTCATATAAATCATTTTAACAACTACGATGATTATTATGTACTTTATTAATTAAATTATTTTGGTTCTAAAAATTTTAAAATGATGGTGAAAGTTAATTAAATTATGATATATGCATGTATTTTCTTTACGAAATATATTTTCAAGATCGATGGAGGCATCTTTGTTTATTTTACTCTAGAAATTCTTGGTTACTCAACTAATACAAGCTTATACATTTGCTATGAAACATTGTCTTCGAAAAATTTTAGATTTGGAATTATTCATATGAGTTTGATATTGAGAATGCAAATTGTATTTCAAAAATGATTATTCTTGTATGTTTGAAAAGTAATTTCACGAGGTCTTTAAGCAGAACATTATCGCTAACGGCAGTTCTATTAGCCCTTAGTGCGCCTTGGTTAATGACTAGCTAGCTTAGTTTTCGTGAGCTCTGTTCTCACGTTTGTTATTCGCGAGCCTTGCACTTGCATTTGTTTTGTGGCCTTAAGCCGCATTTGGTTAGTCTTACCCTCGTGGACTGTGTGTCCACATTTATTTCGTGATTTCGACCGCATTTGATTACTTACTCTCGTGAACTGGTGTGTTCATGTTTGATTTTATGGCACAAGTCGTGTTTGGTTATTTTATCCTCGTGGACTGTGTATCCATGTTTATTACTTGTTCTGTAAAAGTCTTTAAAAATATTATCTTTTAATTGATTTGTGAATACACATTTTATTAGTTTTATTTAATAAAAGGTATTCTTATTTATTTATTTTACTTCATAAGAACAAAGAGTTGAACTGTTTTGTCATTATCAATTTGGTAGCTTAGTACTTTGAAGTTGTATGAAACTTCTTAACCTTTAAATTCATGATTATATTATATTAATTGTTCTCAGCTAGTATATTTAAATTTTTAATGTTTGCAATTAGTAAGTTGCTACTTTTACTCAATTATGAGTAAATTATTCTTCTCTAGCATATTAGATTTAAGAAATTTTAACTTATTCATGTTTTATTATTATAATTGATATTTCTAGATCTTGTGAGTTATTATTCTGGATTAATTTCCTTTCAATTATTTCATATAATAGTAAGCTTATTATTTTACTTTGTTAAATTTAATTTTTTGAGGATGCTATTCATTGAAAATTATTTTAGTCTCAGATTCATTAATTGAT